GTTAAATAACATGTAAAATTATTGTGACTGTTATAGATACGAAAATTTACTTAGACATCCTCTAAAACAAGCAAGTAATGTTTAAGTAAGATTTTGGTAAGTATTCCAGTTTTTTAATATTCATGTTCAATGAAGATAACAATACTAACTATTGCAAAACTTTGTGCAATAGTGAATATTTTCATGTCATCAGATTAAGATAAGTCATATTATTTTTTTTATTTATTATAGGCCACCATCAAGATAATGAATAAAAGAAAATAGTGATGATTTGCACATAAGCAAACAGTTTAGTAAATGTATCAATTTTGTCACATCTAAAAATGCTTATTTTATTACATTAAAATGAAATCAAACCTACAATTAAAGTGTAACAATAATGTTTAGTTGCAATTAAGATAAAGTAAATTAATAATGAATAAAAGTAATATTTTTATAATGAGCATTGTATTGATGATTTATCATCTGTGGTAGTTACTATAACTTACTAATTACTTTAATAATTTCAAGATGTTATTGTTATAACATCTTGAAATTATTGTTGTAAGTAGGTAGATAGTTATATTTATAATCAATGAAATGAAATGACAGGTATTTGAACATTATTGCTGGCTGCACATTATCGTTAATAAACTTGATTCCTACTGGTGTTGGACAAAATACACCTAAATAACTTCAAGGTTGTTTTGTTTGGACCTAATTTTTATTCAGATACCCAATTTATGATAAACAAAAAATAAACGCAAAAGATAAAACCAATGAAGGTAAGTGACCCTCAAAATACTGGGCACTTACAAAATGGTGCTAAGGATACTCTGACCAAATGGTGTGAAACAAACAAAAAAACAGCATTTTTTATATTCAAGGACTTTTGGTGAACCTATAGACATCAAGGTTATATGTTTTATTTTAACTTTATCTCATTAGCATATGAAACATATTGATAATAGCCATGAATTAAACTTACCATAATCATGGGTCACAGAACATCTGATCAATAAATTATAAGACATGCTGAATAAACAATGTCACTCTCATAAAATTTGAATTTACGTTAATATTATGAATAATTAATTGGTACAATTTCTATATTACTTTTAATTTTAATAAACATAGTATATATTTTACTAAGACAATGGTCATGAAGTGGAAATAAGAATTTATGTAATTGTTATAAAAATGTTAATTTGAAACTGGCGCGATCTATTTGTAAGCACAAGAAAGAACATGTTTGTTTTGACTAATTGTATATTGCATGTGTATACTAACCTTCGCCTAGAGACGCGAGACCAAGGCCGTGATGCACTGTACACCGACTGGTTGCTCGTAACACTGACGAAGGAACGCCCGCTGAGGTTGCCCACGAAATGGGAGAGACTGAACTAAATACAAAAATAAATTATGCCCCTAAACGTAACAAAGAACTGACACAAACAATAGATATTTTTACGAATCCCTCGTTACCCGATTTCTTTTACACAAAGCAAATCCTAAAGCCACTACGCCGTAGCAAAGCTACAGGATTACAGTCTCTATTAACAAAAATATTAGTAACTCCGTGAGTTCAGCTGAGAATGACATTAACAAGTTTTTCGTTTCACTTACCTGACTAGTGAACGCCTGGCCGTCGCGGTCTGAATGCGTAGATTGTTTTTGATACTTGTGCTCAGAGTTTTTATTATGCGTATTTCCCATTAAACTAAACTAAATTGCTTTAAGCGTGCCGTTTCAGGTATATTTTTATGTGTCTCTAAAAACTGTTGACTAATTTTTCCACCATGAATCGCCCATAAACAATCAACACGGTGTTGCCATTAGATGGCCACTTGAAAATATAAAAATAGAAAAAATATTTATGGAACAAACAAACTTTATCCTATTGAAATTATTTGAATAGTGATTTACTCAATTTACATTTAATTTACATATAAAACAAACACTTTTCTTTGTTTTTCTTAGTTTTCTTCAGTAAATCATGTCATAATCATACAAATGTTTACAAAATCTGACGCAGTAATTAACCGCGAAATTCAAATTGAACTGTAGGATAGGTGGGGATAAATAAATACCTACTGTGCTGGTTGTTTGTGCTTAGAGTATTTGCTAAGTGTTTTTTCAAAAAGGATAAATAAATAAAAAACATTTTGCTAACTTCTTGTCTGAACAAGAAGGTAGAGAACAAAGAGATAACGTAGGTAATTCTATATTAACTATTTCATACCTAATAAAATAATGGTTACAAATCATACAAATTGTAATTATTTACCTACATGATATACATTATTTGTTTAGTTATTTCATATAAGTACTCGATGGTTTGGGTCAAGATACCCAAAGCCGTCCCGTAACCTTACAATATTATTTTCACTTTGAAGGGACGGACAGTAAAACAATAATAGAGCAAAAAAAACTACAAAAAAAAAGGATCAATACAACGTCGAACCCAACATCAAGTTATCTTGGGTCCAGTGTAGAGTTCGTGTCGAGTTTTTCAGACATTCATTGTCACGGTCGGTCGTACAACAATTAATCTTTTGGGCAAGTCGTCCTCGGATTCGAATCTTTCGACTTTAAGGATGCTTACATAATAACAAAGATTTTACAGTTGATACGAACACATCTGGGTACGGATACGGATACTGGAGCGGAGATATTATAAATAAGTTTGCATAAAGTATAATTTGTTTTTTTTTTTTTTTTTAAACTTTAATGTACACACAAACAAGTAATGGTACATAAGGCGGACATTAATGCCATATGGCATTCTCTCCCAGTCAACCTTAGGGTTAAAATGGAAATCTGCAAAAAATAGGCATGTGTAATTATTAGAAACAAATAACATAAATAGACTTTATAAATATAGAAAGGTACTAAAAATATTTAAAATTTACACTACAATATAAATACAACATAAATATATAGGTATATATAACATATATGTGTGCTCGTATATACATAAATATACTAAATAAATAAATTCTATAATAATACATATATAATAGGAATAGACCTAGACTCAGCGTTGTAGTGACTTTAAAAAGAATTCGTGAACATCGCGTTTGAAAGTGATCTTATTTGGAGCCTTTTTTATTTTAAGCGGTAATGCGTTCCATAACTTAATTACACTAACTGTGAAAGAGTTAGAAATGAAGGATGTTCGGTGGGACGGAATCTCAAGAAGCAGATTTTCAGCAGAACGGAGATTTCGGCTGTGAGAACTGCCCAGTACCTGGAAGCAAGACTTTAGGTATTCAGGAGCACAAGGATCATTCAGAATAGAGAAAAGCATGCAGAGAGATCTAAGAGATCTTCTCTCACGGATAGGAAGCCATTTTAGCTGATCGCGAAAAGAAGAAATGTGGTCGTATTTACGAAGACCGAAGATAAAACGGATACAGTTATTGAGCATTCGATCCAATTTGTTCAGAAGGTCTTGGGATAGGTCAGAGTAACAAACATCAGCATAATCGATAACAGGAAGCACAAGGGACCGGACCAGTAACTCTTTTGTATTTGGGGGCAGAAAGTTTTTAAATCTATAGAGAGATCGCAGCGTAGCAGTAACTCTCTTACCAACCTGCGCAACCTGATGGTTCCAGCTGAGGCTACCATCCAGGTATAGACCCAAATTCTTTACGTAAGGAGACGTTTTTTCAGGGAAGATACAGTTTAATTTTTTTTTCTTGTGTAGTCACTCGATCGACATATGGGTATGTGCTTAGACAGGTTAGTAGGTATCTGTGTTATATGTATTACTTAACTTATATTATTAGCCTCTAAATGTTGTAAAGCCTGTACGTTTAATTAATGTTCTTTGTGCTTATGTTCATTTGTTTTTCTTTGTCTAAATTATTTTACCGAATTTTACGGTTATTAGGGGTTATGTGTAATAGTTAATGTTGATGAAGGTTACAGTAGTTAAGTAGTTTCCACTCGAGGAAGGAATTCGCAGCTTTTGAGGCCTGCTACGTGGTGGGACCTGCCACAATTCAGTGGTGCCGATTCGAGCCCTGCCGGGTGCGGTAAATCCGCAAGGGTGTCCCGGGTGACGGCCACAGGCAGAGGAGGAACACCGCGGTGGTTTTAGCCGGTGTGAGTCCGGCACCCCCCCCCCCCTTGGTCCCCACGGCGAGGGAAGTCATGTAATGTTTAAATATAAATAAGTATTCAAGAAGTAGGTAATTCGAAACTACTTCCATATGTATGCTGTACTTACTTATGCCTGTATGTGTGTAAGTAGTTACCTGCTAATAACAGCACAATAGTTTGTAGATGGTATGGTTGCCATGGAAACAGTTATGGCATTGATAATAATAATATACGCTACCTACGTACCTACTTTGTGCAAGTTACTTCTCTACCAGTACCTTATTGTAACTACCTATTATTTCATTTTAAAATTAGTATTAAACTGTATTTTTTTTTCTTCTTTGGCAACCGAGTCTCCAATACGATGTTGTCGACTATAGGTACTGCCAGTGTCGGGTGGTGTATTAAAATGTAAAGATAGGTAAGGGTGATATCAATTTCCACTCATGATATCAATTTAATTGTGATGCACTTCATCTATACTTCTATACTAATATTATAAAGCTGAAGAGTTTGTTTTTTTGTTTGAACGCGCTAATCTCCGTAAGTTAAAGGCTGATTTGAATAATTCTTTTAGTTTTGAATAGCGCATTTATCGAAGATGGCTATAGGTTATAAAACATCACGCTACTACCAATAGGAGCTGAGCACAGCGAGTGAAACCGCGCGAAAGTAGCTTGTCATTCATAAAGCCCAAACAAGCAGAACTTGAAAACTATTTTCTATTTTGTTTTGAACCTACTGTAATGTGTACGGTGTAATATTGTGCTACTACATACTACATAACGATATTAATAGTGTAGGTCTAAAATTTTAAATATGTAGAGTATGACTCAGTATTTATAAAATTTTTAGTGATAGGGATCGACTTCGAACATTTTTTTTATTATCTGCTGTAAACTTCGAAGATATTAATCATATCGCACTTTGGTCAAGAATTTACGCTTTCTTAATTTTGTCATTTTTTTCCGGCACGATTCCACGGCGGGTATCGCCAATTCAAACATAAAAGAAATTAAAGTGAGGCCTATATAAAAACATAAAATTTTGAAAACGCCGCTTAAATCCTGGATGCTCAGTGCTTTAGTAGTGACTTCATCTTTTATGTCGGTGTATCTGTACTGCTCCCATTTTCTTATCAGACCGGCTTCGAATATCATCATCATGTATCTATTGTACCGGTCTGTTAGCGGAGAATGTTTGGAAAGCACCATGGTCAAGTAATGGCTATGTATTCTGTCTCGTTCAGCGATGTGTAAATATTGTTCCCCTTTGTTATTCAGTTTGTTCCGTTTAATGTATCGACCCACTGAGCAATCTATGAGGCAAAATCGACGATTGTCACTTGCCATGCGAGTAATACACCCGTAAATATCCTGTTCGTACACCAGCCTTGAATTGATAATTCTGAATTTTTCCTCTGTGTCTGGAAGGATCAAATCAGGCGACGCCATTGCTTCAATAGGGTATCCTTTTTCAATAACATCTTCAAAGGTATCGACCTCTTTACCTCGTTTAGCAGCAGTGAAGAATGATATTATTTTTGCCTGAGTCGTAAAATTTAAGACAAAGAAGCTCCATAAACATATAGTTAAGAAGATACGAAAAGATTCGTACTTCGGTGGATTACAAAGATTTAACATTAGAACGTTCCTCCAGGCATTCATAAAATCTTTTCCTATTTGGTCGCAAGTAAAATGTCCCTTTTCAGCAGCTTTATAGAGAGAGAAGACCATCCAAATACATACGAAACAACCGTAGAACACGAGTAAATATTTTAAATTCACTGTCAAGTTTTTCATTTGAAATAGAGTAGTTTCAAAGCCTGCGCGTCCTGCCACAATGCAAATACCGCTTTCCTTAAACGGAAAAGTAAAATCGATTTCTACAACAATGACATCGAATTGGTAAATAGGAAAGAGACACAGATCTCCCTTTCTACGGGCAAAGGAGAATATCTGGTCGATATTAACTTCGAAATTGAAAGGTTTCTTCATGACGCTCACACTGGGACTGAGATCAATACCAAAGTTCATAAGTTTAGACATCGTGTTCCAGATCATTCCATCGCGCGCTCGCAGCGTGTAACTTCCGTCTTCGTGCACGTCTATTAAAGAAAATGGTTCGACTTCAGTAACATATGACCTAAACATGAAACCATGTAAATTCTTGCTCCTGTCTTCAAACAGAATAAGGCTTTTCAGATCTTCAGTGGATTTTATAGGAATTGTGTCAAAACCAATGCAGGTGCCAAGGTGTTGGGCCCTTAGTCTAGAAAGTATTGTCACATTATGACATTTTTCTACGCAAGTTAATCCTTTTTCGAAACTAACAACTGGGATCCCAAGGTTCCTCCTAGTCCAACATCCGAACTTATTGCTCGGTTGTACCTCATATTTCTCATTGACATACGGAGTGTAATTGGACACAAGAAATGTATCTTCTACATCGTTGTACTGGACCAGTATTGTATTAATGGCTTTATGGTACCATAAGCTGAAGAATATCTTCGCCATAACTTCTTTGTTTTCTAATCTGTTGTAATATAAAATGATGTTGGCTAGAGGGTGCCAGTAGGGTGAAGTAACTAATTTCACTATAAGTGCTTCATAGTCATTAAAATCCTGGCAGTTGATGACGATGATGTTAGAATGGTATGGGACTACATCATCTATGTAGTGGCCCTGTAGGTTATTTAGATTCATAAGGGCAAAAGTAAACGGCATATGCTTGATTTTGTTATAGAATGAAGTGGGCAGGTTCCCGACGCACATAATATTATTCCATCCATTCGTTTTCAAATGTGAAGTCATTATATCCACCTGAAATTAATAACGAAAAGGTTTAACAGTTACTAAAATGATTTTGAGTATTCCCCATATTACCATAGATACCTACTTATTATAAGGGTATTACTTACATTTAATCAAGAAAATATTGAAAATAATGTAACATGAAACTTACAATAACTTCAATCTTCAGAGCGTCAGGATCAGGTTTGGTGATATTTGTGTAGTCGGCGAGGACTGCGTTGACAAGAACAGCAAAAATAAGTATTGGGTACTTCATGATATGACCAGACGTCTATAATCTCTCATTTCTCGAATTGAACACCATAGGAGCTCTTAAATCACGATTGAAATTCATATGAAATTACTGACTAAATGTTCTATAAAATACGTAGGTAAAATCAAATAAGCGTAAGTACATTAAAGATTAAAGTACATGATCACCGCTATCATAATCACCGAAGTGCTTACAAAATACTAACCACAATTCTTACAAATAATAAATGATTGATTGATTGATTGAATTCCCTAAAAGCTCCAATCTAAATGATAATACTAATTTTTGTAAATGTTGAGTATTATCTGTGTAATAATAGGTAAATTGTAGTGGCCAGAAAACAATTGTATGACAGAATACTTCGGTAAATTAGTCTCCTATAATTTTACCAAAGGGCCTGTTTCACTATGTTTGATTAAATTCGTTTGTCGTATTTTCCATACAAAAAATGTGTCAGTAACTTGCTGCGCTAGTAAAAGCTTTATGAAATCACCCTTTGTTTACTATGAACAATATTCGATATAAAAATATTAATAACGTTGAAAAACAAAACAACACAATTAATTTGGTTAATGTATAGGATGGCAAAATTAACGCCAGTGTAGTTTGCTAGATAATAAAAATAAGACCAAAAATTTAACAAAAATATTTGCTTTATTTCATCTTCAAGTCTTTATAATACTAAAATACGTTAACAGCCAAAATATAATTCCTAAACCAAACCAACGACTAACATGATATATTTTTAACTAAATGCCAATGAACACTTTTTACTCAATAAATATCCTTCATACGTACAAAATATTGTCTATGGAGCATAAAGATTTAAAATAAGGGAATAAAATAGATATCAATCGCCATTGTTGCTAAAATGTAGTTACAATATGAGCTGTAGGTATCCAACAAACAAAATGTGAGCATCATGTAGAAAAAAAATATTAGGACGTAAAGCCTACTCTCGTAACCATTCGACGGTGCTCGACTAGTTTCAAGAACAATCGGGACCCATAATATTGCGTAAGTACGCTATTGGTTTCCACGTGGTTTGAAACTAGTTGAGCGCCCTCGATACTACATGTGAGTAAGCAGCATTTTAAAACATGTAGGTAGTATGTCTCGGGATAGTTATCATATAAATAAATTATTAAATTTTATTACAACTACATAATTATATGGCATGGTTGTGTTTGATTACTTACATCAGTATACAATTAAAGTTATTTATTTCAGCAAAATCGGCGATAATATGCTATGCATGTACTGTTGTGTTGTATATTCTAAAAATATGTATAAATTCACGTTATTTTACCTACAATAAAATGTTTGTACAATATTATGAAATTAAAATGCTTACAATTAATAAGATAATATAAATATTTAAAAAAAATTGTTGACGAAACTTCATATAATAACAAAATAAGTCTAAATAACTAAACTGTAACAGTAAATTGTCTTCTTGGCTGAACATCTTTGCAATATACTTTCAGGCAAGATGATTAAATATTGTTACAAAAGTGGAGTTTCATCAACTTACATAAAAATAATAAAGAATAATATAGTAAATAGATAATACCAAAATAAATAAAATTGTCTCTTCACCTGGTGTTTTTGGACTCAGTTTGGGTTCGACACATTGAACTCGACTTCGTTTATTAGTGGGAAAAAGTACCCGGCCACTCAGGAGCATGAAAAAAATGGGCTACGACCTAAGACAAGTATTTTGTAAAGGAGCTGCCTGACCTGGTCTGCACAGTCTCATACGAATTATGTTAATCACATTCGTGGTTGTAGTGGCCTCTATATAACACAAATGAATATCATAGGTAATATATCAAAATTATTTAAAGACTTCTATTGACTATTACTAATCGAAATGCTACGTTTATTGTCAATGCTACCTCTAGAAATAGAACAAGAATCATTCAGACCTAATGAACTTGTTCCACAGCCTGCTTAAAAGATTTGCACATCACGATTTTACATGCTCACAAGTTATTTTTCATAGTAATAAATTATCTGATTTGTATGAAACTTAATAATATTCAAACGCAAGGATTAAATATTTAGTTAAAAACATTTTATTTAGGATTTGTTTGTATAAAAAACCATGATGAGTGAATACTTTTCAAATGTTGCAATGGCCTTCACCTGCCCAATAAGGTTGCTTTTTATTACAGCTTACAAGTAATTCAGCTTCTAAAACACCTTTAAGTTCCCCAAAATACAACAGAAATATAAATAAACGCTGTTCGATTGTTCACAAACTTTTAAAAAACACCCTTTAAAAATTATTCGACAAAAAGAGAAGCACATCAGCTTATTACTTTACGATGGTTGCGCGATGTAAAGTTGTTTGTATTATATAAGCCCCGGTTTAGATCGAAACTGTTCGAGGTTGCTCGAATAATTTACGTAACTAAGCTGTAATTTATAAAAAAACACCTTGGGTATGTTAGGTTCCCCTTTAGATCCGTAACAATTACTAATTTTTCTACTTCCAGTTTCATGTTACCTACTTTCTCTTAGCTAGATACTCTTGCAGTTCTTTCCATGCACCTTCAAGTTGTGTATCCGTATGGTCTGTGCTCCAGTTTGGACTGAATACTACATTGGCCACGGCCACATGGTCCTCGTTAGACACTTGGGAGTCCACTCTCTTGGCCGCCTCCTCCGCTGAGAGGTTGTCTCGTTTCTGTATCCTTTTTATCGCCTGTGGATAAAGAATTAAATTATTCGCCTACGCCGGTGTTAATTTAGTGTAAAAGGTTTGTGTCATTTTTTAAATAATATACTAAGTTTCTGATGTTTTTAAAGAGATAGTAAGTGAAGGAAAAGACAGAAATGATATGAAAACCGATAACACAATCTGGAGTATCTTTTTTAGTGTTGCGGGTGACTTAGGTTCACTGATTGCTTATTGTCATCTCGTCTCACTTACCAAATTAAAAAAACCTTTAAAATAAATTGTTTATATACTGACCTCATCCCTCGGTATGATAACGGACCACAGTTGATGACAGTACTTGTACCACTTGGCTCGCACCAACACGGCCGCCTCCATGACCACGACACGGTGGCCTTGTTCACCTAAGGCTTTGATGCGACGCTGCGCCTCCGCTATCACCTCTGGCCATACTAAGCTGTTCAGTTTATCTAATTGTTTCTAAAATAATAAGAAGACATATTCATTAAACGTGCACGAATCGTGACTACATTTTTTGTAGTGGAGATAATTTAGGGCATTTGTTGAAATATTTATATGTTTTTCTGTGGAAATATAGATGAAATATCTGGGCGTGGTTCGTGTCGGTCGGTGACTACTTATACGATTTTTTTCGTATCAAACCACATAAATATCACAAATATGGGGCGAGAAGTGTAAAATAATTATTATTCATACGGCTCTATGAGAAATGAATCTTCGATAGAATTTATACTTTCTTACTTTGGAATAAAGTTAAAAATCGTGTTTACCTTATCACTAAACACAATAGATCCAAGCTTCTTCCTGTCCACCTCTCCGGCCTCTGTGATAACTTCCTTGCCAAAATTCTCAGATATCGTACGGTTGAGTTGCAGTCCCGGTTTGTACAGCTCGTGAGCGATAGTATCGCAGTTCAAAATTGCCGCGCCTTTTTCCCTATAAATAAATTATATAAATTCATATATTGTGTTGCACATGCGTTCTATTCCACTGTTGTGAAAGACGTTTCTATGAAGACCCGTCATTTCTTTGGCGCCTCTAACCCATAAGAAAAGTCCTACGCCATAACATAGTTATTTATTATACATCGAGTACAGAGGCCTTAATATGAGTTTGTTTGGTTGGTTCATTGGAGTCGGCCAATCAGTGAGCTTCGTAAGAGTTTCTTTCACGTTTAATAGAAACGAGTACGCGTCTGGCGCTCTGATTGGCCGGATCCAATGAACCAACCAATCAGAGCGCCGAACGCGGTCTCATTTCTATTACTTTAGACGTAAAACAAACTCGTACTAAGCCCTCTATTATAGACTTCGTACTATTATATACTTCATTTATTTATTTATTTATTCATATACATATTACTACCAAAAATGAAGGAATTATAATAATTATAACAACCCTAAGATATCCGAGACATGCGATCATTACAAGACCATTCAACCATAGAGACCATTCAATAAAAGAGTACGTTTACTTTTATTCGTTACTCGTTTACATAGTTCAAAATACTTAATAAAAGAAAAATACTAAAACATACGTACTTTAATTTTTGCAAAATACGAGTTTTTCCGCTGGCAATACCCCCGGCCAGTCCAATCACGTACGGCCAATCCGGGATGTTGGGATTAGGCTGAAAAGCAGAGTACCTACTCATATAAACAAAAATAAAGGAGATTTAATTCGCTTGATTAATGGTAAATAACAAATTAATGATTATGAATTGTGTTGTCAAAAGTTTTACATAAATTATTTATTATTAATGATAATAATATGTTTAAGATCATTATTAATAAGGGATTCCATTTAATTATATATTTAATCATTATAGTGAATATTAGTTGTGTAATATTTACACGAGATAATCATAAACCATCAAGGACTCTTTATTCGGATAGAAACAGAGTATGATATGATTTATTCTTTAGCAGTTTCCTCATAAACCACTATTACTATAGTATCCATTAATGAAAACCGCATGAAAATCAATGTAATTATATTTTCCTTTATATTTTTTTTATATTCGATGTACCGACGTTTGTCCACTACCTCGCCTGATGGTAACCCATGATGCGGACTACGATGGGGAGCAAGTTGACCTATATAACCAACCTATTCACTCGGGCTTTGAAGACATCCAGGTTATACCTTTCAGGAAACACAACACAGACTCTGGCAACACACACACACACACAAGAAAACTTGATGCGAAGCGCTTCGTGCATGTGTTGTCTTGTCTTGTGGTACGATGATGGAAACTTACGCCTGTGTCCGAGGCTTTAAAGTCGGGCCTCCGCACAAACGCATCATCGTTGATTAACTTCTTGGCACGCTTCTCGATGTGCTCTAACGCGTCCAGCTGCTATTTATCCGAGCCGTCCCAAAGATGAGAACAGTACTCCACACAGGACCAAACTTGTGCTTGGTACAGGCTCAGCAATCGTTTCGGCGTGAAGTAACGTCTCACCCTCCATAGGATACTCAACTTCCTACCAGCCAGTTGCGCTTTCGACTGTATATAGGAGCCAAAGCTGAGTGTGGGCGTCAGAGTTACACCAAGAAGCTCTAGATGATCACTTATCGGAACGGATTCTTTCCAAAAAGTAGGAGTTTGACTCCGTTTGGTTTTTTAAGTATACCACTGTCAGATGTAAACGGTGTAGACTGATGTTGTAAAACAAAGAAATAAAGTAAGAAAATGAAATAACATTCTAGAAAATAACTTACTTTTGGTTCCCTTATGATTTTGCCCAGCATTCTCATCCTCTGGTTACTGGAGCTGACCTTGCATTCCTCGGCGGCGGTAGTGCACGCATGAGAGTCCTCTATGACGTTTATCACGTGGACGTCCATCGGTGGGATTCCCTTCTCCTCTCGCTTCTCATTTATCTTATTAGCTCCTCGAACCGTTTCCTCACTTACCACTATTAGCTGTAAAATTAAAACATTAACTTCGTTTAAACCATCAGTGAAATTACATATATGCTTAATCCAAATTGTAGATTCCAGTGGAGAAGAGCAAGTAAAAATCTCTCTACTCACTCTTTTGAATGGAATGTACTTTACATCTATGGTTAAATAAATATATCATTATCACTTAAAATGAATTTTTTACAGGTGCATTTGATATTTATTTTTGCCATGGTTTGTCCAGAGAGGATTGTTTTGAAAAGTATAACATTTACTTATAAGCAAAGACAGTACAAAGTGTATATTAAAAAGTAGGTACCTGAAATTTAGGATCATCTTTCGTTGGGCCGTAGAGGTCCCTTAAGGGAAACAAATTGTATTCCAAGTCCGGATTGATGTCCATTAGGAAATCACGTACTTCTTTTATTCTTATGTCTACCGGTTGTATCAGTTCCGGTATAGTTTTAACTGAACGCAAACAAAAAAAACTAATTAAATACATAAATAAAGTATGCTCTATTTGTAGGTCGTTTGAAACGTTTTATGAACGCACAAAACTGTCAAAAAACATTAGTCTTCATTTTTTTTTTGTCTGCTTAATCCTAAGTTATGCTGAACGGCTTACTTTGTAACATGTTGACGTCAGTAACTCCGACAGTTACCGACTTAGTGGCTCGCAACACAGCTTGTGACAGCAACAACTTATGTCCATTATGTAACCGGTCGAAGGTACCACCCAAAACGACATTCTCGTAAGTTCTTACTTTTTCTAAAATACCGACAGGTTCTTCATCAACATCTGAAAGATAAATAAATTGTTGTAATAATATTCCATAACCATTAACTTTTTGTCTACTACTTCGCTGGAGGTAGTTAATCAAACGTATCAAATCAAACGTAAGAATCGCCATGCATAAGCATGACTCTCCTAAGTCTAAAAATATACGTATGTACATACAATGATGTTTTACTTAAATATTCGATTTGATGTCAATAGAGTAGAATCAATAGGCTCACCCCCTATTACATGGGACTCATGACATAAATAGTGAAAAATGGGTGATACATTGTGCAGTGGCATTAAGTGCCGTAATGTGCAACTTTGCCTACCCTTTCGGGGATAAAAGGCGTTATGTTATGTAGATAATAAAATTAATGTCAAAGTGTTATTTCGACCTAGCTCAGCTATACAGTATAAGTAATAGTTTCAAAAAGTACATTACTAAAATGTTTTAAATTTTATCAACGGTTTCAGCTATGGTTATTATCATAGTTATTGCATGACTTGTAAATATACATATAAATCTTATCACATTTTGAATATACAATAAAGAGATAAGAGCTAGAGTTAATAATAACATTTTATTTTTTACATGACCATTCATCAAACTTTGTATTCTCTGAGAAGGAAACAAGTCATCCATCCTTATGCAATAAATAATCAAATGCCAGTGTTTGTTCTTCTTTCACGTCATAACACTCTGTAACTAATTATGGAATGACATTTTATAACATTGAACTTTCAATATTTGTCTGTACGGTTTCCGCGGTGGCCGCGCAACGTGTAGAAAATCCAAGTGTGGAGCAGATTTTATAAAAAAAATATTCTTGCCCAATTCGCGTGTAGAACTTAACAACTTCTGTTCAGTTCTGTCAATTTTTGATAATTTTTCTACTTGTTCTATGGCACAGTGGTGTGGCTACAGTATGGCAAGTCGTCAAAATGTCACGGCCTCTCAGACGAGAATAATACCTGAAATTCTGTTTTTATAGGAGTACATTAAATTTCAAATGATAACTACAGTTACACCAATGCTATGACAAATTAAATTCAACAACTTACCAAGATTTAGTACTCTGCAACCATTTCTTATAGTATTCACAGAGTTCTTCAGGCTGTCTATATCACTAGATAATTCACTATCATACAGTACTAGGTCAATTGGAAAGTTTGTGTTCTCATTTCTCACTCCACCTTGTTTTAATATCAGTCTTACATCTAAATGATTGTAATGAGACGTCGCCTGGAAAGACAAGACAAATAGTTTTTATAATTTAAAATTCCAATTATTATTTTTAACTCGTCGAGTACCGGTTTTGTAGACACAATTATAGAACAATAGGTTGCGGTCACCGGTGACCGCTTGGTGTTTGACAGTTTAAATACACAACAGCTAGAATGTTTCAACACCCACTTTTCAGATATGTAGTATAAAAAATTGTAATAAGTAGGTAACTGAAAATGTGAAGAAGCTGGTTTTAACACTTAACAAATAATAGGATTAAGTCTAATTTTAGAAGGCAGTAGGGAGCGGCCTAAATTTATAATGCTAAAAGTGACCACTACTGCCCCAAGGCTTCTTGTGTGGAGAAGATTTGAGCATTAATGACTATGCTTACTAAATGCAACTTTGCACTATATTAAACTAGACTCAAATCCAGACTCCATTTTAATAATTAGGTAGATAATTAGTTCCAGTACTTGTCTTACCTTACAATAAACATTTTCAATTTGTTTGCTAAGCATAGGCAATGATGCTTCAGTGTTTTCCTTAACTCTCAGATATAAAACTCTTTGCACTAACTTTGAAGCTCTTTGGCATACAGCATAGGCCTTCGCAGCACTTGAAATAAATACATATCCATTGTTTGCCATCTCATGAGCTGAAAATGAAAACAGAATAGAATAACCTTTATTGTACACCATTAATAATATAGTACATAGGGAAAAAAATAACAAATATAAATAAAAAATAATTGGCACAAAGGCGGTCTTATCACTGATACTGATTGCTTTCAGAAAGTCTTACATAAGTTAAAATTAATTGTAACTAATTATTATTCATTACATTATAAAAATTCATCTGGCATGTGTTAGGACAACTATCAAATCTAGTGATTATTTATTGGTTAAACATAAAATATATGACAATAATACAGCCATCACTTAATCCCGAATAATATAGTAAAGTACTAGATGTCTTTAAGATATATAAAAAGCAACTAGATGAATGTTTACCGACGAGTCGACAAGATAATAATACGATTCAAGGACATTAGCTGTTATCATTATCATTCATTATAAATTGCTTAAAATTATGATGTGCAGGAAGTTAACTTCTAAATAAAAGATAAATGTGAATAACTATTACTGTGGTTATGCTACCCACCTGTTGGACTCATCACAAATATATATGATACAATTACTGAAAGCACAAAAACCACGATAGGAGCGGTGTAACCAATATACATTATTTTGTTACGATTAAACTAAAGTCCAAAGGTTGACTTTTTCTACCTACTGAATATACACGAAACTGATTTGTGCAAATTTATTATACCGAATGATCACTGATAAAACACTACTATTTCAAACGATTGTTAAATTTGCGTACACACTAAAAACATCTAATTAATAAATAACAACAATAATATTATGATCCTACGATATCATGGTTACATATATGGAACGTGATTAACATTAATATATTTATTATATTACCTAATCGATATAAATAGGGTTTGTGTTATTGAAAATAAAACAAAATAAAATTGCTTTTTAGGGAAATTATCTCGCGGATTTTCGCTCGAGTACAACAAAAACGAAAGTTAGGTTACTTCGTTTTGTCAAATTTGACAAATATGAATGACAGCTGGCAGCCAAATAAATGTGTTTGACGTTTGCCAGTTGTCAAATTTTCTCTATGACTTTATTACTTTTTATGGCTTTGAAAACACTTTTTAAGCATAAGCAGTCAATTTGGACAATTGCTTGACGTATATGAAGTTATAAAAGTATTCAAATTCAATTTTGGTGCTGTTTCCAACACTGCCTCTTCTAGTTCAGATCTATCTACCCCTATACTTATTAAATATACTCTTGGGTCTATCATTTGTTGGCACCCCTGCAACATCAGTCTGCTAGCACAGGCCTAGGGGGGCTTGGAGATATTAGTTTTTACAGTACAACTTCAACTCAAAGCATTAGGTTTGGATTTGGATCAACAAGTACAACTACAACTACAAGCTTATTAGCATTCTGTAAACATGGGCGGTGTGGAGGCGTGGCGCCCTACGCTATCGCCGTCGCTTTATTTTTTATCTTTATGAAAACAGTAACTGCGTTTGACCAGGTTTGACTGCGTAACAAGCGGTTAATACTTTTCGTATATTAAGTATTTTATTTAATTATCTTGTTATTCTTCTTTTATCTAGTATAATAAGTGTCTTTCCTTTCCTTGTATTATGTCGGACATAACTGCGAGTGTAAACTGTGGTGTGTGAAAAATGCTATGTTCCCAGCCTCGCTTTTTTAAATGGGCTGAATGTACACATTGGATGTGTTCACAAATCTCAAAGTACATTCAACCCCGTTACCGTTACCCCCGGTAACCCGGTACACACAATAAATTTTCATTAGCATGAAATTCTTTTGAGTATCTTCTATTATTTCTCAGTTTATCTGCCCAAAACCACGTTTTATAGAAGACACCAAAAAGTATTTAACTTGATCTATTCACTCAAGAGTTGTAGCAGTAAAAACATTGTAGATACCAACTTGCTTTATTAAGGTGGTAATTTCTTTCCAAATAAAACTAAATAATTTTAGCTAACATTTTATTTTAAAATTACAAATCATACACATGCACGCAATAATTATTATAGGTACTGGGTAATGGTAAGGTTCCAACTTATTATATATCTATTCATAGGTACTTAGGTAATAAACATTTTTGTACTGTGCTAATACTTAATTAAATTATCTAAAGCAACGACAGGCACGTATTTTAGTGACTATAGTTTGTTACAATTATAAAGATTTTTCGTAATAAAAATACGTAAGTTATAATTTTATTATAACTACAGAGTCCTTGACTACACACTACGGTGTTGTAGGGTACCTCCAAAATAGTCTTGATTTCAAACATATTTTTTTTTTTAGTATCTATCAAAATGACTTTTAAACTTTTAAACGCCCTTTTACAATAATCTAGGTAGGTACTAGATAGGTACTTAGTTTGTTTTCATAAAAGGCCCTGAAACAAAAGAAATAATAACAAACAAAGCACCTTAACCTAACATTTAGGTGGTGGAATTAATTGAAAATACTTAAAAAATTAATACTCAATTATGCATCCAACTCGCCACTTTAACAAATTCAGTAGCTACCATCAGGTAGAAGTAAATATAAAACTTAAACTTAGGGAGGTAAATAACGTTTATTGGATATAGCTTTTTGTGAATATAAAAGTCTACTATAACTCTAAATAAATAAATGCTCATGGGTAATTACATTATGGCTGTGTCAGGGGCCTCTTTAGCCCTTGTAGTGCCAGGCAGAGCCTCGGGTGCTCAAAAAGACTCGCGTGCGATTAATGTGTTTTGTGGACGAGCTTTTTTACGCGATTGACTATTTGGCGTCCTCGTAATACCTGGCGACGGCACTAATATCAAATGGCGCCAGAGGCCTGAGTACGAGTTTGTTTTACGTTTAAAGTAATCGTAACGAGTACGTGTTCGGCGCTATGATTGTTTATTGATTGTTGGTTTATTGGCGCCCGGCCAATCAGAGTGCCGAACACGCGTTCGGCACTCTGATCGGCCGGCGCTCGTTGCAAATAATTTAAACGTAAAACAAACTCGTACTAAGGCCTCAGGTGTACCGGTTCACCGCAGTCCGTGCATTACCTATACGTTAACACCTCTACAGAAGCCCCTGTTTAAACTAAAACTTACAACTAAAAATACGTAATACGACTTATCTAACCTTATATAAAAATAATAACACATTAATATAATTTCAACTAAAGCGCTAACTACGCCGTAACTTAATTTTTGAATGTGTTGACTAGCGGTTTTATGATTGTGATGCATCCGAGTGTTCATGAGAATTCTTTGGTGCTTGTCATGTTTATGAATCTGTAAAGAAATAAATGTTAATTATACATTACAATCGAAATTGAACTTTGTGGAAAAACGGATAATTGGAAAACATGGGGATCCATGGGGTTGACTTGGCAACCTTTTTAAAATATGTTAGAAAGATTATTTAGAGACGACCCGATACCCCTTACCTTGGGTGCTGATGGATGAATGGCCACCGGGGTGATTTTAGTGAGGCAAGAATCCCAAAAATACTTTTTTACTCAAAAAGTAAAGCGATTTTGAAGGTTTTTCCCCATCATCAGAAAAAAGGTATGAATGATCGACAGCCTCATTAGATCTGTGCTACGTATTATGTTTAAAAACTCTCACCTATATGATTAGTGCATATCTTTTAGTCGCATAGCAGAATCGTCGGTAGATATGCGCGTGTCTTCCGTGGGCGCAGTGCTGGTGGTGTTCCACTTGCCGGTGCGCTGGTCGTGTTCTGTTGTCGGTAGACCGAAGATGCTGCGGAATCTATGGGAAAAATGACCAATAGAAATTAGTGTTGGATATCTAGAGTAAGTATTTGGAGTATGAGTCAAGGTCTAAGTATTTAAAAAGTGACTCGAATATTCTTTTCAATATTTTCGTTTTCTTTCAATATTTTGTTTCTCATTTATGATGTGATATAAATAATTACTTTGTGATAATTTTGTTTGTTAACGGATCTAATTTGATCAACCTTTGTATTAGGTATAACTCTCATAAGACATTAATTAATTAATTAATTAATCATTGTCAATTAACGGTTTAAGTACCGAATTGAACCAGTTTTTAATAACCAACTGAATATTTTGCGTAAACTTGCTTTTGGTTTCATAAAAATATTTTTCTTTTGTTTCGTGTATGATGACATGAAATATTAAATAGCTTTTAGGTAGGCCAAAAATGTTAAATGAGCCGCTGAAAATGTGTTTTATTTTATAATTTTGAAAGGATGTAATTATTACGTGTATTTTAGAGCTTATTTCTGTTATTAGGATTAAGTTTTTATTTCAAAACCGTATCAACGTGGTGCTGGTACAAAACACGCGTGCGTGATATTTAGTCGTTATTTGTTATAAACATCAATAAACGCGTTTTTACCTCTCTCAGGGTGATTTGTAATTCCACCATAATCTTACCTCTATATGGGGTTATAGGACACATCATTTCCAACAATTTTTTCGAATAAAAGGATAGGCGGAAATGAACAGTTATTAAATATTCGAGTATAGAGTTATTTCAAAATGACGTCCGCGGTAACTTTAAAACTAAAAAAAAAACAAAAAAGAAACGCGTTTGCCCTAATTTTATTTTTCCAAAAACACAGTGTTGCTTCAATAAGCTTTTGTCTAATACTTTTTCCTCCTGTTTTTTAAAGTGCAATATTTCCATTCCATAGAGAATATTCAACTTTTTTGACTCGAAGTTTTTATTTAACACGAAAGAATCTAAAATAGTCGGCAGTTAATGAAACTCATCCAGCTGAGATATACTCAACCTCAAATAATTTTAATTGAAGTTACTTTTTAATTGCGTTCCAATTTTAAACGATTACAAAGCACCAGTTCGTGTAAGTACCGAGGTAGGTACATATTTAAAGACACAGTATTATCTTTTGCAAACACATCAAGTGTTGTTGACAAATTCCCTTTCACAGAACACATGCCCATACTAGTTTATTATGTACCGAGTACACAAACTAGACACACACATATGCGGTATTAGTTCCCGTCAATATTTGTCAGCATTGACTGAATACGGGTATTGTAACAAAATCAGTTTACTTGAGACCCAGCTGTGTGCTTACGGAAATTCGACATGGGATTACTTGTGATACGCAGAAGAAGACTGTTGTTCTTTCATGGACATGGTGTGCTTTGGCATATTAATATTTCTAGGGCAATATCAAATACTATCTGTCTATCAACGCCTAATCCGATTTGAGTTAGCAACAAAATTATATTTTTGTAAATTAATTCATTAGATCCATTCATCAGTTTACAGGCCGTGTTTAGAAATGAGGTTTTAGTTATTTTTTTAGTAAAATCTTACGCCTCGCCGCCACCTATGGTAGCTGCTACTGCCCGCTGGTACACGACCGAGTTTTGATCGAACCATCGAGCAGGGGGAATAATATATTGGCTTCGATAATACCGTTATGCCTACAAATAATAGAGAAAAATGTCGTATTCATTTTTAGATAAGAGTATTCATTCACTTCACAGTCTATGTGCACGATATCACATCGGTTAATAGTCCATTGTTTGAAATACCACTTAAACCTTTGTATCGTACTTATAGGTACTCAATCCTTTTTGTAATGATAACATGAGAACAAATAACATAAGTCTATTTAAGTTATTTATCCTTTATAATTACACATGCCTGTTTTTTCGCCGATTTTCTATTTAACTCTAAGGTCGACTGGGAGAGAATGCCATATAGCATTAATGTCCGCCTTATGTACCATCCCTTGTTTCTGTGTATATTACCTAAAGTTTAAATACATAAATAAATAAATAAAAAACATACCTCTTTTGTACCAAATTGCGTACTTTCTTCTTCCATACGAATATTAGGAAGACGAATATACCAAGTCCGATGTTTGATATGTCGGTGATGATCCAATACCAGTTGGAGCCTCCGATTGCAAAGCTCAGGAGTTCTACCGTCCAATTCACTCCCATGACCATGAACAGCTTGAGGTAGAGGCCGTATCTGAAATATAAAACGATTTGTAATGAATAAATTTGTAATAATAAAATACTCATATTGGAGAGGACTAGTGAAGAATTGGTGGATTCAATTTATTAGCACTGCTTCGCTGATCTGAATCAAATTATCAGTGTTTTTAATAAAGATTAATTTATTTCTCTCATCACCATTTACAGATTAATATACCAACAAATTTACATTAAAACTTGAGCCTAGTGTCTGTTATAGGTAAAACTTGTATCACAGATAATCAGGCCAACCCACTGACACGATACAATTATTTACTGAGTTGCATAAAGTAACTAGATTTATGTGAACCGATATAATTCCGTAATCTTTTTGTAGTAAAAAACTATTTGTGATAAAATGGGATGGGGAATGGGAATAGCCCACCCTTTGTAAGTATATAAGGAATTATTGGTATGGACCTATACACAAACTGAAAACTAAATAAATTGGTAAGTATTTGTACGAGTAGGTACCTAAATAAGTGGCTTTTGGAAATGCTTACTCTATATTCATACAGAATACAAACATTAATTGTTGGACACGAGATACCCACGGTACACCGCAATAGCCTGCATGCCCAATAGTTTATCCCAGAGGACAGTCTGTGGGACATAGGTACTATATATAAGTATAAGTTAATGTTTATTTATTCCGTGACTTTTTAGGCGAATTGTCTTTGCTTATACGGGTAAACTTAGTCCTGATAGTGACGGTCACAACTCGTAATGAATTTATTCAAGTTTCGAGAGTTATGGGAGATTTAATTTTTTTTTCATTGAATAAAAATATGAATAGATTCGTTGTAAACAATCTGCCTACTGTAATTATTAGAACATAAAAGCTTGTAATATAAAAGAGTTCTTTCTTAGTAATATACCAACATATTAGATAGTAAGTTTTATATTCTATGAACGTTTCAAGTTGTAGAAACGATGAAATCATTTCAAATGAATAGAGATACATTTAGAGATATTATTTATTAACGTGTTGTAGGAGTTCCTTTATGAAATACTGAGCGTTCTCAAGACGCTGGCCAGCTGGTATTTTACACAAATAAACATATCTTTCGCTCTGGAAGTCTTCACACAATGGTTACACGAAATACATATGTATACACATGTATGAACAACGCTTGCTCAGTCACAAATATGACTGTTTAATAAGAATATTTAGACAATTTTACGACTTCTCCATAACGAACTGTTTTATGACCTGTTTAAGTAGGTGTTAACTCTAGGTAAACTAGTTAAAAATGGATTAGTCGAAACTTCCTTCAAAATTCCTTGTGTTACTCTATGTGATGTTGAGTGTTATAAGTAATAATTACGTTCATAACCACACATTTCTTTATATAAACTACTACAAGAAATCGATAGCGAACTAATGAAGGAATCAATTATTTATTTGTCTAGTCGGTTAACGATGCTAAAGTACGTCACAACAAAAATGTCAAAGAAACTCATAAATGACAAAATAACAATGATTTTTTTGAGTTTCGTTAACCACATAATCAGTTTAATCACGATACAATTTTAGCTTCTATACACAAACATACCATGTCTACTTCTTAACTTACATATGACCAATGTTCGCCTACATAGGTAGGTAAGCTTAACATCAGGACTTACTGTACAAATATACCTACCATAACTATACATAACACCTACTTAGATATACATCTTTACGAGTCTAAAAAAAAGTTAAAGGACCCTCCTAGAAACGGAGAAATGAAAAAAAATAGACCAACTTATCCTTAAAAGTTTAGTAGGAACGATAAAAGTTAGAAAGCAATTCTATTTGAAATAAGTATAGCTTCGTCTTTGAATAACGCCCACGGCCACGGTACCGTACTCAAATTCACCAACATGACTGCAGCAGTTTTATCTCTCTAGTTAATGGCTATTCTCGCCAGTGTTTATTTATAAGCATTATATAAAAAGCGCCGGTTTTTTAATCCTTCTTTCGCCGTTAATGCGAAGATAAGCGATTGCAAATACGATCCGTTTTAATTATACCGTACTATATATCTAATCTGACTTACTAGGTAATTACAGTAGGTTAATATCTCTCGATAGCAGGTCTTAATGCATATTTTTGCATTCAATAACATTCTTGAATAGAGGTAAGTAGGTATATAAGTAAACGCTCAAATTATGGAATTAATCACAACATTTGAAAGAGTTTTGATGTCGTTATTATGTATTAGGATAAAGAATACACAAACCAAGTAAATCTCTATTCAATTTGCATTCAATTTAGAAGTTGAAATTACATTCGCAACACATTGGGATCAGACTGTGTCCTCCGTAGTATCCAGGCAATCAAACTTGGTTTAGTGACTTTTGTTTCTACAGTCTGCACAGACCTGGCGACCTGCACTGGTTTGCATACCAAAGCTACGTATCGCCGTAGGGCTCTCGTTAAAGCATATTTTGTATACAGGCAAAAGAAAATATAGCTTAAATTAGGATACCCAGACAAGGCCTGACAGTAGACCCTACAGTGCTTTGTCGTGGCTTGAAAACTTGAAATTAAAACTAGTACGATGCGTGACCAAATTAAGCATGCATGAAAATATTGATAACTGTTGATGAAGCGAAGGAGGTATATGGGAATCGTAGTAATTGCGTTCCATAGTCTCTGCCCACCCCCATGGGAAACAGGCGTGAAGTTATGCATGTATAAATAAATTTATTTAACTGAAATCGTTCAACGTCGATTGATTGATTAACACCAAGCACATTTTAATCTAGATTCCGTACTCGGGCAACCCGTGTCACTCATTTCCGCCCACATTGTTTTGTAAGGTACTTAAACTAATCCCTTACTAGTAGCTTTCGACATGAACCATATTGAAGTCGCACTGATGGAAAATAAGTATTTGATCAGCAAAATAGAATAGACTATATTGACCAGTATTTACTGCTAGTTTTCAATTGATAATTATTTGAATACTATGATCCAGCTCATCATTAGCATTTCGCATAAGTATCGAGACTTTTACGAAAAAAGTAATTTCTTTCACAATGTGCTCAAAAGCGTTTAGTATGAAATCTACAAAAAAAAACAACTTAACTTGCTAAGCAATAAAGTACAGAGTTAATTAATTACCTTTGTTTGTCTTTCTTAAGCTTGTCACTTCGCGAGGACTCCGCTCCTTTCAAGATGGCTGTCTCCTGTCTAATAGAACGAATGCGGTGCGCAGTCACGGAGAAGAAAACCACGTTGCATACCACCAGTATCAGCACAGGAATGAAGAAGTATACCAGGTCACTCAGCCAGTCTAAGGAAAATTAGATAATTTTGTTTAATTTGAAAACTCAATGAAATACTGCCTTTCTACAATTGATCGATGGTCCACAATTCCCGGTAAACAAAAATAAGTTTTCGTCAAAACCAAACGAATGTTCTTTTCATTTAACTCCTAAGTTTAGAAAGACGGAAAAGTTAGGAGAGATAATGGAAGTAAGATAAAGCCTGTCAGCTCCCGGATAATTGATTTCCGAAAACAAAACCCACACGTTTAACGATTCTCCAGCAAATATCGCGAAATGGGTTTTATATTTTTCTGGTACAAAGACTACAGAGGCAACATAGGCTTGTGAAAACCGAACAAGAAGACTTAAAGGTAAGATTAATTATCTTTTTTTCTCGGTAACCTGATGGGTCTTCCTACATACATAATTTGAGTAATAAGTTTATTAGTTTAATTTTTTCGTCTAAACAAAATAAATATCAATTTTATAATTTTGATTGAAGTTTTTCAATGTTTAATATTCTATTTGTTTTGAATAACTTAGCAACCCTACCTTCCACAACTGCAGAAGCCACACTCATACATAAAGCGAACCTAAGTTATATTAGGGTTGAACGTCGTATTGTGGCATTCATTTTATATGAATGTGACCGCTTTACGCTTCCGTGAATCCATTTTACCGTTGCATTTTTATATTGGTATGTAACCTGTCATATTTTTTATGCGAAATATGAATAATCTTTATAGGAATGTTCGGTATGATTTAATACACACTTATTTTTCCTACTAAAAGTATTATTTATGAGTGTTTATATTTCTTTAGTGTTACTTTGTTGTTATTCTACTGAAAATGTTATTAGCAGTGAGCCTTGAGAACGAATGGGTTGCAATTTTGTAATTATTGTTAGTCGGAAAGCTCAGTTAATGGCGGACATAACACGACATTGTTGATATTGTGGCTAAGTACTAATCAATACTGTTTGATGGTCACAGAAAAATATATAGCTCAGTAAATCACATGAAACACGTTAGTAGGTAATAACATCTGTATTTTAGTAGACGACGTAATTCGCGTGTGTACGTAATTTTATTGTTTCATTATTATTATGTAAGTATTACGACTTACGACTAAGATTAAGCGCCACTGTGATGGATACTCAAGTTATAACAATTAAATATGATTACGATCAGTAGGTACAGTTACCCACATATGTATAAGAACAAGAATACTTAATATCACATCACACACACACTTATTTTCAATCAAACAACATTCCAAAATGAACTTTAAAACGTAAAAAACAAAGTTCACTTACCAACAAACCAGCACCTCTTAGTTCCGAATCCGGGTTTGATGATATGCGCGGGGAGGTCTCCAAACTGCATGCCAGCTGTGATGCCAGTGAGGATGAGAGGAACGCCCCAAGCATAGAGGCCGTACAACAGAAACCTCCTTCGTTCTCTTCTCTTGTTTGAACTGCCACCTCGATAGCCACTGTTATTGTTAACAAAGTTTTTATAAGATCTGCAATTGAAAGCCGAGGTTTTTACCCCAGCGAAATTCGATTGATATGGTAGATAGGATTATAGTCTTTATGGGTTTGATGATAGGTACTATATTTACATGAAGAAAGTTTTAGATGATTTGGAGCTGAAGTAAGAAGTACCATTTGGAATCTTTTCGTGTAAGGTTTTTCTACGCTTTGATGTCCAGATAAGTATTTTATTGGTACAGTATTGAACTTAATATTGTCAACGGAGAATTCAATAACACTAATACTGTAACTAGGACATATATATGTAGTGTATTAAACCTAAAGGGATACAAGTTCTTAATGAAAAAGTCACTGAACCGGAAAATAGTATGAATCAGCTCACTAAGGATTCCTTCATATCAATGTATGTTTTATTTTTTTTAATTGTGAGCATAATCATGACTGTAAAAACTATTTATGCGACCACTTTAAGTGTAATTCCCTTCAAAACCTGTTGTGTAATCTAATTATACATTAACAAAAAGAAATGATATAATATGTACCACAAACTAGCAAGACACTATCCATGCACATATCACAGAATTTATAAAATAAATACAAACAAAAAACATACAGCACGAATTGAGAACCTCTTCATTTTGGGAAGTCGGTTAAAGATACGAGAACCACATAATGTGAATACGCTGTATGAGGCCTATGAATAAGACAATTTTAATAATGCGTGGGCGCTTTTCTCAGTACTCCTATAATAAAGGCATATAGAGAAGTAAATAATTAATTTAAACTTCAAGTAATAAATTGCCAGGCTATCAACCACATCTATCACTAGCCTATTAGAAGCGTTCTAAACAGCCAGTCTTCACAACGTGACCCGGATTTAAGTGGGGTTCTGAATGGAATATAAAGCTCCTCTGGGTACTATTGAAACTTTGGTTTTGTACCATGTATTTTCAGTTATTGTATATTAGGGCATTACTCTACCAACGTAGTATAGTTCTATCTAAATTATCGTTTCTTTATTATTATTATATCTCATAAAGAATAATGTACAACAAAATATTTTTACACAATGTATTAGAGACATTTTTTATCGTTTGCCACGACGCTCGTAACCGACTTGCTACGCCACGTAGCTCTTAAGTTAAAGGTAGCAATAACTTTCTCGTAGCACCGCGTAGCAGTCTCGTAGTATCTTTATTTATCACCAAAAATATTTACCTTGTATTACTTTACGCTTCATATTTATTTAAGTTCATAAAAATATTGTTCTATATTATTTATTTAATTTTCCTCATGACAATCAATCAATCCATTGACGTCCGACATTATGACTCAGTTCACAAATATAGGTATAGGAAAACATAAACTAAACAAATAAAGATGTACTATTTACAGTTCAGCCTTACCTTTGGGACTGTTGAGCTAAACTCCCGACTCTTCGATAGGTAGCATTAGAAACATAATTAAAACATGAATACTAATATTAAGGGTACATTTATATTGAGCTGTATTCAAAATGTATTGGTCATTATATTTTGATGCTACATTACATATTATCGTCCGATATGGTTTATTATCCCATTTATGTCATATGAATATGAATAGCACTTAAAATTCATGACTGAATGACCTTCATAGATAATGGAGACACCCTGTATGAGAGTGTAAAATTATTGTAATAAAACGTTTTAATGTTATCACATTAGTCTAAAAACTTGACATGACCTGTTCTAATTTATTTTTATGTCTAGATAAAACTAGTAATCGGACAAAATGAAATTTAATTTAAGTGTTTCTATATTCATGCACTAAAAATCGACCTTGACAACCAATTGAGTTATTCTGTAAACACTTACGCATTCATAAAATTAATAATAGACATTTTAGTGGAGCTAAAAAAATTGCACATATTATGCTGAGTCACATGCTACACGAATCTGAATAATGGTTATAGAATAACCCAAGAGGTAATTTTTAATGATCTTCTTACAATATATAAGACGTCTACAGATAACTATCCGGACTACGAGCACTATATTTGACACTAACGATGACATATCGAAGTAGTAAGCTCGAAAACCGAATCGTTATCGTTATAAGAATATAATATAACTACATAGAACAGCGCAACTAACTATAACTAATTACTTAAATACGTGAGCAATTTAAAAATTAACATGCATTAGTACTAGAGCTAGGTACTCTTTAAGAGTTAAAAATAACTGTGACTAGTTTTCTAGAAGTAACAACTGCATAATATTACAATACAACGTATTTACGAAACGACGTCGCGATTGTGAGTTAATATAAACATATATAAGTATATACTATATGTATAATAGGTGCATATACGCATTGTAATTCTGTTTTTGTATCGTGCTATGCCACGGGGCTTAGTTGATGAAACACAAGTTGTATTGCTAACAGCCCTAATGATTTAGGGTTGCCTACTAACTTAAAAGTTTCCGTGACATGGCCCTATACGGCAACACATGATAGTTATGAAATAATCCTATGTATTTTTTTCCTTTTCTTATATTATAATTCGGTTAAAAAAATAATGCAATATTATTATGTATTCTTATTATTATATTATATCTTTTAATACGTTTCTGCTGGATATTTTCGAAAATTATATGCAGACATCTCATTAAAATAATGATAAAACTATAAATAAAACTACAATCAACACCCATTCAATACAACAGTGCAAACATTCAGATACAAAACAAGTCATTTTTTTCTTACCTAAGTATTATGCATAATTTTCTAATTTCAACTTTCACTTCAGTCTAGGTATCTAGCCTAGACTTCGCGGAACGCCTGACTACAAATTAAAAATAATGTGCTTGTGTCTAGAACAAACTATATCTAATGGCCTTTAGCATACTTCAAAGTGTGAAACTCAAACATTTTTTGTTCAACGGCAGAATGAAAAGCGCGATTGAATAATTATTTACTTTAAATGTGGCAATGAAGATAAATTGGAATTCTAGATATTTCAATGCCGGTATTGTGGTCCAATTGAAATATCTACTAGGTACTATTACGATGGCTTATAGTGAAATCTTCATAAGAAACATAACCTCTGCGAAATACGTAACATTTTCACAAAAAAAAAACTGCAAAATTTTACAGAGCGCAGTTTTTTTGTGCCTCCTGAAACGTTACGTATTTTGTAGTTACGAAGTATTCACTAAAAGCCATCGATTGAATGGTTTTTGGCGTATAAAAACTAAATAACTAAATATACTACACTAGTAAAAGTTCTAGTAAATGCATCAACTTACTAGCGCAATACAATCGGTGGTAATCTAAACGACTTTCTACAAAATATTTACTCACTCTGCCGATTTTAAACTTCCTTTATAACTAAGTTGACTGACCTCTACTCTGTAATTGAACGACAGTATTCGTATAAAACCGCCTCGTCTGAAATGTTAAAAATGTAGTTACATAACATCACGCCTTTTTTCCCTGAAGGGGTAAACAGAGGTGCACGTTAGGGCACTTATTGCCGCTGTACAATGTTATGTAGCACTTTTCAGTATTTATGAAATTGGGTCCTATGTAAATTGGCACAATTTCAGACTCCGTGCTACTACTGATAATTTTTTTTTTAAACTTAGTAATACTTTGCCCGACCCGGGAATCAAACCCGAGACGCCTTGCTCGATATTCGCACTTGCGACCGCTCGGCCAACGAGGCAGTCTAATATAATTGCGCTTAGTATATTTCCGATTGATTATTTTTTAACTTTCAGTTAAACAGGTAAACTGATTTTTCTTGATGACATCTTTTTCTTGAGCTAATATGTAAAAAATGGTATAATATAAGTACAGACATGACGATGTATGTATGTATTTAATGCATGATAGGTAACATTAAACTTTACTGTTACTTTAACCGCAGATTTATCACAAAAAAATCTTCATACGTCTCCGAATATAAGAATAAATCTTATATCATAGGAAGTGTTTAACTAAACGTTAATGACAATCAAAAAGGTATTGGCTACACTTCATGCGATAGAATATGACTAGATCCCAGAAGGCATTGGCATGTAACATTTTCAATCATTTGTTTTTTTTTTGCTCAGTAGAGAACAGTGATGTCACTGGTACCAATCATCCCTGAGAGGTTTTTAGGCATCACAAAACAGAAGGGAACGTACGAGTGTTGGAATACATAATTGTGAAAAGTCCTGGTTGTTTGGAAGAAAAGAGCACTATAACGATATTGAAATTTGGTAATGTCCAAGGTATCAAAATTAAAAATCTAATTAGTCCGTCAGTTAGATGATATAAAAATATTAGACACGTATTTTTTTATTTTCTCGTATTAGGTTACAATACTTAGATAAAATGGCGCTAAGTTTAAGAGTGGGAAGTTGTTACGTCACAACGTATTATGAAATGTGGCACGCTGTGACGTCACACAATATTTCAAATTAATATATATTATCGTCGAAAGTATTTAGTTTTGTGAGAAAAAAAATACGTGTTTAAAGTTTTTAATTAATCTAACAGGCGGACATTAAAATAAAATTTAGGAAACTACCTTATCATAATAACATGACATTCTATCGTCATTTATAATGATAGTACACAACAAACGAATAATCTTGTCGTTTTTAACTCGAATTAATCTGGAAGGTGAGAATTTTTGCTGACATTACGGAATTTGCACACCCACATCGACCTACATGCAACATAGCGTAGCATAACATGAAGTGAATGTGCCGCACTATTTAATTAAACAATTAAACATTTACGAGCAATATCGAGCAGTTTCGAGCATAATTATAGCATTTCGAGCACACGAGTATCATGCCATTACAGACATCGACCTGTAAGCTAGGCTTAATGACCTACAGGTGGCAGCTGACTCTGACACCCTTCAGACACGGCGGCGTGGCTGATCTGCAATCCAAGGTATATGATGATTATAATTTGGTGTAGTCAATTTTGAATTCCGATTTCGCCAATTGTTTTTATAATAACTATCGTCAGATGCTAAATTAACTTAAAATCGCTGGTGACTCACGTGAATATATCGAGAAAAGTTCTACTAGTTTCGAGCCACAGAGAAGCTTTTCTTCATGAACAGGGTGTGCGGTCGCGGCGATGTCGCGCAGGCTGCTGACAACATGAACTCTGTAGCTCGAAAGTAGTAGAGCTTTTCTCAGTATATTCACGTGATTAACCCTCGATTCTTAGTTAAATCTCCATTAGTGTTTTCGATCGTTGTGCGAAAAATTTTTCTTAATCCAAATAACAATAACTACACACCTAATAACTACACATCTAAATTATTTATCATAATATATAAATATCTTTAATATATGCAAGGTCTTATTTTTGGTACCGTTGAGCTAAGTATGGATACGCCTACAACTAGCGTAGTATACGCTTTAAGTGTGACCAGATCCTTGAATCTAGGTAATATAACAGCACTCATATGAACTCATATCAGTTATATCACATAACCTTAATTCGTCGATAATGGTCCTCCACTTCAAAATAGAACCAACAAGCGTAAAGATTATCACTGTTATCGGACATATAACATGAATCCATATATGCAATATTAAGTATGAATCCATTGAAAAATGCGAAACCGACTTTTCGCTATCAAGTAAAATAATCTATAGAGAAGTTATTATCAAATGATATTGCCATAAAATCCTGGTGAAATGTAGTGACATTATAAGTGTGTCAGATATATAATTATGAATGTTGATAGGAACTTTTATTAAGATTATAAATCATTCTTTAACTTCAAGCGCTGATATTAATATTACTTTCAAAAAGGGACGTTTACCTACTAGCTATTTAACGCCTACGTTAGTAGACTTTTATACTTTTTCATCTAGCCATTTTTATTGCTAAAACTGCTTAAAGTATATATTCAGAAGGGACCAAGATTCTTGCTTATATGGCAAAGAATTAAACGTTTCCTACTTTGTCTAGCTATTTTATAGACATTGTGAACGATGTGCGATTTCATCTATGATTTCTAATTCATATACCATCAACATCAGCCTATTTACTATGCCATTGCTAGAAAAAGGATAATTTCATAATATATAATTAAATACCTATATAAAATTAATTAATTCAATCACATTGTATAATACATATGGGTCCTACGTATTATTAACCACATAAAGAGGAAATAGCTTCATAGTTGGTTGAAGACAAATAAGTAATAATATATTAATAACAATAATTTGTTTACATTTTCCGCTCTATGAAGAGAGGGAAAATCAAATAGTATTGGCTGGAAACCACCTATTGAAAATTACGGGCTCTTGTTATGACAGGAATGAGGAAATATTATTCGTTATTCCTCTTTGAAGTAATAAGAGAAACTTCATATTTTCATAATAATTATATACATTGTTCAATTGCTACGACATAATAATATGCCAATAAAATATAAATAAACGGAAAGATTTCTTACACGTAGTCACATTTTTTCCACTTTCTTTGTTTAAAATTGCATTTTATTTCAAAAATATTTTTATGCTATAACTGCAACACCGCACGTTGCAGTCCCAGCCTGTTCATTGCACTCTTTGTTCATAGTATAGCATCGTGGATCAATAAAACAATTGCCACTGCACCGGTGGGCTGCACGTTTTCTTTTATTAGCGGCGCTTTTAATGCTAGCCTAACGATTGTGAGTATAGTTAAGTACTTAATTTTAATAACTATATATAGGTACTCAACTTTTAATAGCGTAAATCGTACAATTTTCCTTGAAAAAATGTTATGGGGAAAACCTAGTTCCCGACATTTCTGTATACCGATTCATACCGTGTAAATGTGTTTTCAAAAAATCTAGCAAACGTTTTTAATATTGCGTTTACGTATAAACATCGATGTGGGTTATAAAGCGTCACAGATGTTAGACTTAGCGCCATTTGCTATATTTTTTCGTATACGTTATTCCCACGCAAATTCCCACGCGACGTAAAACCTTCATGCTGTCGGGCGTCACCAGATATCCGCAGATATCGGATATCTGAGGAGATATCCGTAGATATCCGCCGGCAGTTTTTATCACATTGTGCCCATACATCTTCTGTGACTCCTATCGGTTATATTTGTATTACAGCATGTGGCGTCGATAATGCGATGAAATATTTCATCACAAGTTTACCATAAAATAGAAAATATGTAACAGTTTCAATATTTTGGACGCACATACTTTAACATTGAAATATTGAATTATGACATTGTAATATTGAAACCATTTGTATTTATAAAAAGAGATTTGTATAAAATATTTATAAAAAAATGTTAGAACAATAATTATTCCTTGAAATGCCCATTAGGGCATTTAGGGCTAAGTAATTATATTTAATGTGAACTTTAACACTGTGTTAATAAAATTGATTATTACTAATTGATTTCAATTGTACTTGTAACAATTGATGCTAAGGATTCCTATGCACTTATGTTTACCTGGGTACTAAGACCCAATATTATGAGTCGGAGCGTTATATATAGCTAAATATATGAATGTGTTTAATTACCTGAAAGTCCTCCAAATATCGAAGCACATGACGTTTAGCCAGAAGAATGACGTTTGGAATGCGTAGTAAACGACGAACGCTGAAAAAATATAAATAAACGTAAAAACAAAATAAACAAAAACTGCGATGAAATTAATCGCCGACCTATAGGTGTATACACTATAGATGAAAGTGAACCATATCTATATATATGTACATAGATACGTAACGCAGGTATAAAGATAATAAATAAAACGTGCAAGAATTTCCTTCATTGATATTTGGGTCAACTGCTAAACTTCGGAGAATATATTTACAGACGCTTTGCGTATGAAAATGAAAACAAATAGCGAAATATTGTGACATTGAAATACGCAAGAACTCTAGAATAACCAATCAATGTATTATTTTCTTTATACATCATACCTTTTTTGTCCAAAAGAGCAAATAATAAATATGTATCCGTTATCCATGGTCCATTTTTGACCAATTTTGTGTAACAAAAAGGAAAACACACCGCCAAACACGTAACATACAACCGAGTCTCCAAATGGGAATTCCAAAAAGATATCGATAGCCCTTAATAGAACACTGGAATGGGGAAATAATCCACTATTTGTTGTTATTAAATACATAATGTGCAACACAAGAATACGATTGTATTCATATATAGCATGAAATATTCATACAATACCGTAGCCCAACGATAATAAGTTTGTCATTACCATCCGAAGACGCAAAACAGGTGATGGTAACATTTTGGCACCCATATTCGTTTTAAAATAAGCGGTAGGAAGTAATGGCTGACTACAATGATTCAATAAATTCGTGTGAGGTGGAAATCTTAATGTGCGATTTCGAACAATTCCCTTTTGATCACGTCATTAACCAGTGTCGTTAATTAGGTGTCATATATCAAGTTGAATTAATGCTTTTGTTCCTAATTAATCCCTTCACTAATGTTTGCAAAGGTCGTTTGTACGTAATTCTGGAAAATTATGTCACTGATGTTTCCGGTTCTAAGGTCGGAAATATAGTAGGTCCATTTTCTTTGTCAAAAGTAGAAGGAACGTCATAAATTCATAACCATGAATCGACTAGCTGATGTAGTAAGTAAAAAGGCGTAGGTGGATTTTGAATGATTGAAAATGTCGTAATCGAAAAGTTCAATTTTGTCGAAAGCCTGCTCTCGTTAGCAATGTTGTATCTACGTACCAAGCTACTGTAGGAAAAACCTTCAACAAATTGCATTGGAAGAGAACCATCTGGTCGATTGACGCGCTGTTTTTTTTTTTCTTTCATTCCCAATCAATCGGAACGTAAATATTGCAACATATCGAGTATTTTTCCGGAGTTACCGCGAAATAGTAGGCGTTCGAGTTTGAAACGAGCCGTTTGCATACAGTAATAAATACTAAAAATATTACAATGCTACGCGTATTGGTATGAAAATATAGCTCAAAATACCTTGTGAATAGTTTTTATGCATATGATATGATTCCAGCAAGGAGGCTGGCAGTTTTACGTAATTCACAATTATATCTGACCAGTCATTTTGACTGTATGGTCAGATATGAATATGACTAATTGTGCAAAATTGCAAATAAATGACTCACGGGTGCACAAGTCACTTATTTGTCTCATTTTATATTATTTCCTTAACAAAGTTTTTGTTTTACCCCACGTATGTAATATAGGTATTGTAGACGTCAATGTTCTAATTAGTACTAACAGTACTACCTATTATATTAATTGCTTATGACATGCCTGAATTTCCAGGAATAATTAGGAAGACTTATTCAGGTGTTAATTATGTACGAGTCATTGATTTACGGCTGAAATAATAACTGATTTAAACTATTACATGATTTTTGTGTAGTTACCTTATACTAACTACTGATCTTAAAATGGAATAGTTTTGATAAATAGATAGTATTATCTTTATTGTACACCATTGGTTTTATTTTAGTGTTAGTTTTTAATTATTTCCGATGTTCTATGTTTAACCTCTTGTATGTCGGTATTTAAGACACAATAGAAAAAGCATTGCGTCTTGCGTAGATATACACCCGACATAGAGGTTCTTGACGAAATAATTTCTGTAGATAGGAAGCATAAAAGGACTAAAATAAATTGGTTAGGTAAGATTCCACTATCTATTTACCTTAGTACTTCCCACAGAACATATAATTTATATGTTCTGTGGTACTTCATATGTAATATGTACAGAGCAATCATATCCTATTTTTCTAATGCGTAGGAGATAACTAATATATATATATATATATACCTAGCAGCTTTATGATGATGAGATGAAGGACTTCTATGGACGCCCTCGTAAGCGATAGGACATTATGTGGAGAGCATACGAACATTTTGTACCTCCATTATAACTTCCAAATATATGGGAATAGACGGTTATAAATAGACACTTTACATTGGCTGACAGTTCGTTTCGTTGCGACCTATTTCTATTGTCCAATATTGTCAATAACTTCACAAAGAAGTATATAATAGAAGTACAAACATAAAATACATATAAAAAATGGACAAGTCTTTGTCTCCGTTCCCTCTTACATTCCGTACATTGTTATCTTGGGATATATTTGAGCGTAAACGTTGGGGAATTATCGAGATCTCATATAATGCCAAACGTCTACCGCATCCAAATATATATAATGGGAATAACTTGGTTTATCGTTCAAATTTAATATAAGAACCTACATCACTATGAAAAACATGCTTTCTATGTTTAATCTAACCGTAAGTACTTAATATACCTCTAGATTTATTTTAAACTAGCGACCCGCCCCGGCTTCGCACGGGTGCAATTAGCATGTATTATACATACAAACCTTCCTTAAGAATCACTCTATCTATTAAAAAAACCGCATCAAAATCCGTTGCGTAGTTTTAAAGATCTAAGCATACATACGGACATACAGCGAAAGCGACTTTGTTTTATACTATGTATTGAAGATTATATTTTAAAAGATTAAAAATCGTGATCATAATTTTGTTTTAATTAAAAATCTCATTGCGTCGACAATCGAATGGCTACTGCTGATTAAATTGTCGATCAGATAAAGATAGAGAGGGTGTTCGATTTTAAATTTCTCAATAATAACAAGGTTTTTAGGGAAGTATAATCTCTCCTACGGTCTATTGGAAGAGGTATACTTAGTAACGGATATCTTGTAGCAGATAATATGATGATGAATACGATCTCTCGCATTGTACTAGATCAAATAACTTCACTAGAGGACAGATCAATAATATTTTGTTTGATTATCAAAAGTGCCTTCCTGGTCTAATTGATGATTTTGTATAAGTATGTTTTATACAATATGTGTCATATGTATGTCATTAGCACAGCATTAGATTAGGCAATACATACATCATACATCCACAGCCTATAAGTGCCCACTGCAAAATATCTTCTCACACGGAGAACGTTTGAGCATTAATCACCACTCTTGCTCAATACGGGTTACAGATTTCAAATTTATAATTAGAAATTATAAGTGCATCCTCACGATGTTTTCCATTACCGTTTGTCAGTGGTGTCTAAATAATCTTAGAAAGTACATATAACTCGGTAAAAGTCACATTGGTACTTGCTGTTGGTAAGTTTCGAACCAGCACTCTCGTGCATGAGAAGCGGGCGTCTTAAACGACGACAGTACAAAAGTTTAGGCAGTATTACCTCACAAACTTCCTCTCGGGTGGTGGCCCAATATCACGTTTAACTCTTCACAATATGTGTCATATAATTGGGATGATATAAGATCACATTACGGTGTGATTGATAGCAATTATCTGGTTGTCTGGGTCACATTAGTTTATTAACCTCATGTGAAGAGTGATTCGTACAGAATAAACCCGTGGGCGGTCCGGAGATGACTTAATACAATTCAAAAACACGTGCGAAGGGAATTGTCAGCAAGCAAAATTGTAGTATTTTAGTATTCTAATTCCATTCATTCAGCCTAGGTGAGGCTACTACTGAATAGTTGTATATTGTTAATTAATCTATGTGAACTCTTGTTTATAGCTAAAGATATACCCATATACCGTGGGCGTTATTAGGAAAAGAAAGAATCTTTCTTTTATCTAATCTACACCATTTTGAATGACGTTATTTTTATTGTTTTGACATGTGCGCGTCTTCCGTATTTAACATCAAGGTAAACCGTGAAGTTTTACTGCAATGGTTTAAATAGGATTGTTGCTTGACATTCTAGAGCTGTTTAAATGTTCATGAAATCGGTTGTTGTGCGGCAGACTAGACAGACAGACTAGTAAGACGATTTTAGGTTCATTTCTAAGATTTGTTAAGAAAATATTATTTCAAGATCAAGGTTTCCATACGGTATTTTTCATAGAAACCTAGGTTTCATTAAAAGGTGTACATGAGTCTGGTTAATTAATAATTTTGGCAATTGGACAGGTATATTTTATAATCTTTTCGTTATCTCATTTAACAACAAAGCAAAGTATTCAACAAAACGTACTTAAAACTGTTAATTAACGTTTAAAACTCAAAGCTGAACAAATGCAAAGAAATTAATGGTGCCAGTATGAATTTTCATAAGTTCCGACCCTCTCTAGGGATTGGCCTAACATTCATTCGTATGGCGAAAGGCCTGCACGGAAATTTAATTATGCCCTGACTTAATTTGACCTGTGAATAAAATTATTCAAATGAACAAAGTTTTTACTTAATCATAAATGAAAGTAAAATAATTATAATAAAAAGCTTTTTATTATAATTATTTTAGAACTCACAACTACATTTTTGTCCAAAAACAGGACACGCAACTGCTATATGCAAACTATTTGTTATAAACCTCATTGGCCACATAAGTAAATGACATTTTTGCCAGCCAGTAGCACTACCGTAATATGTCAAAGTGTATTACTCTTGTACAGTAATTACATGTTTTTTTAATTACATTAGCGGACCCAATATCTGTGTTATACACTCAGGTAAATTACGTTTACTAACTATGGAGGGTGTGGCCATGTCCGTAATTATTCAGGATATTAGCCGTGATATGTTTTACACTAGTGAAAGTAAGACAGATTGTTTAACTGACGTAACAAAGTACCTATGTCGCTGATTAGCTAATTACTATCCACTAATGAGGGTCATCCTACTAATGACAAGACGAACTACACATTATAAGGAATTTATGATAAAAGTATTTGTTTAACTACGTAATATATTTGAGAGTACATAGAGGTAGCAACAATATTCAAAGTTCAGGGATTTAATCAAAGATTTTATGATCTAGCGATAAAATCGGGAACAAGAATGGCCTCTTGTGATATTTAACCCAATTTCGAATAATTCCCGGTATTAGCATATCTTAGGCGTGTGTTCATTAATATTAATAGTTTCTGTCTACCGCAGGTTTGGTGTTAAGTTATTACTCTGAATATTAATACAAAAGATATTTATTTCGGAAAATATAATATTTTATGATGTATTAAAACTATCTTTATCTCGCAAAACATACCTAAGCAAATAATGAAGTGCTAATAAACCTACTTTAATTAGCATGATAAAAAAGATGGCGCTTTTATGAACGCGACCATAAACTAGGTAAGCAAGCAATTCGCGCGCTTTTCCATTAAACTAAAAATAATAACCAATAAACGTCTCGCTTCTGATTTTAGTGGAGACTATCAGAACTACCAATTAGCCATTCGATTAAGTGTTAATGGGAGACATAGCAATAACATTTATTGCCAACTGTTTGAGCATGCCTATTATGGAAAGTAACATAGGAATTTTATTACATTTTTACACCAGTTGCAATGCAGGAAAATAATAAATAAATTTCTAGAGAGAGAAAATGAACTAAAATTTGAGGTTACTGGTAAATATTTTGTTATTGAGAAACTGTGTAACAATGAACTGTTGTGATATATATTTGTGTTACAAATCCTCAGTAAATTGCAAGCTGCACATGCATACGTAATTGGTTTGACAAACGAAACTGTAACCACATTCAGCCACAGAATATAGAGGTAAAAAGTATTTCTACAAAAGTTACTACTGACTTCTTTGGAATTTGAATTTTTAGTAACATAACCTCACACTATTATTTTCATGAATGGAGGGTGAGTCAGTTTTCACCAATGATCTTATAGTTCAGCGCAACAGGAGGATATCTATTGTATTCATTACGTACAAGTACAAACTCAGTGTAGACTAAGAATTAGCAAATTAGCACTACCCAGGACCCATGCATCGAACTAAAAGAAGACTTCTTACTACGGCTAGTCGACCAACGAAGCACATTTAATATGGACTAAAGACAACTTACCAACAACTAGACAGCCTGTCATCTCGACGCCAACCCTTCCAACATGGAGCTTCAGATAAGCCAGGAACGGGTAGGCCACGATCAGACCACCACAGTACGCCATTAGGCACATGCCGTGCAGGTTCCTTAGTTCAGGAATGAAAGCGTAGATTAAGAATGTTGCCAGAAGAAATGGGACTGAGAGGATTAAACCTGGAACAAAATTTTTATTATTAATTTGAGACAAAAGTTAGTCAGTATGTTAGGGCCTTTGCCGGCCGAACACTACTAAAAACCCAACATCAAACTATCACAGCCTGTTGATGATAGTTGATGACCTTAGTAGAGTCATCTTTGATAACGTATCCATCGAATTATCTATAGATTTGCCTAGATATTAGATATAGGACACACCTACCACAGTCTACCAACATAAAAATTACCTATTGACTGATTCTGATAGATTTTTGAGAATAGCCGTTAGTAACATTTTTGAATCTAAGTCAGATTTCAAGATGGAATTTAGCTGAGAGTTGAATTCACTGCACGTATGAACAGTTGTTGGTTCAGCGTAGGAAAACGGTTCATTTCGCGCAAGTTCTAATACAAAGCACTCCACCACCGTTCCACTAGCTTTTATATAAATACGAAATACACATTCCGTATGAATGGGTTCACTGCGTCGACAGATTGGCTAATGATATTAGTTGGCATTACCTAGCTATTCTTTCATTACATTCTGCATTTACCACAATACACTAGACTTCCTCAGAAGTATGATGAGAGATACACATGTTCATATCAAACACATGTGTAATACGCATTAAATAATTCAAATTACCAATAAATAGTAATAGTCTGTAGTAAGCTCTATTCTAGTTATTTACATGACATACTAATGAACTTGTGTTTTGTATTGAACGTCATAAACGCGTGGAAAACGACCGCTTATAATAACTTTAATAGCACACATAATGTTTGGCATACGTTCTCTAATTCCCACTCTTGGAAGAACTTGTCAATTTTACCTCACCAGGTTATTCTAACAGATGCTCGTTAGAAGCGTATTAGACTCCTCTAACTACGCTGGAAAAATGTTTAACTAGAATTTATTACCAACTTTATTACTTTGACTTGTGGATCGTAGTTATATCACCAAAAATTTCAACAAGAAGTTGCTACATGTCCCTCGATGGTATACCAGTTTAAAGATTTCCCTGGGGCACTCCTAAAGCCGATCAAGCCTGACTAGCCGATCCCAGTAAAACTACATTATTTTAAATCAATGTTTGTCTAACATAGTATCTATGTACGAAATTCGATGAACTGAACCTAAACCTTGTTTAAAATTGTTCATCCAACAATTCTAAATCCCTGAATAAATGGGTTGAAAGCTTATGAAAATGAAGACGGAAGGTTTTAGATTAATAGGGTTTTAGAATGCCCGACTAGATGACAGATCTGATTATATTTTAGGCAATAACAACCATCTGGGGCCTTGTAAATGGGTTTTACTAACTTCATTAATCAATTGTGTGCCTATATCTCACTGTAATCTTACAGAATAGGTAATGTCTAAATGTACAACATTCAAGCTAAGTTATGGCCACTATATTTAAAGGAATATTTTAAGGTCACATTATTAATAAATCCTTTACAAAATAGACATGGTGCATAATGCAAAAACATATGACAAACAGGTGCGTTTGTATGCGTACATGTATATTACGCACGCGTTTGTAATATTAGTAGTTATTTTATCATAATTGGTTTATAATGACTGCAGTGGAGCGATAATACAACTATTTGTATCAGTTCCTAGTTATCTGCGTGCATTGATTTGAGGTGGACATTTGTCTATCTACATTTAATTATAATATGTCTGGACTTTTCCTAAATCTGTTGAAATTTTCAAATCGGCCCAGATATTCCAAATATTTTAACGTTCGTACAAGCAAACAGGCGAACAAACAAAAATTCTCAAGTTTAGGTAAAGAACCCGTCGTGAAAATAAGATGGTCGCATATGAGAAATGCACAACGATGTTTTTGCCGAACAGTAAAACCAGCGGACGATTTGTTGAACGTTCATCGTAAAGGAATTTATAGCCGCTTCACGTTCAGCTTCATATAATGACATCTTCTAATCTTCATCGAGAACAGAATATTAAACCTATTAATTTCTATTAAAAGATCAGCGTAACAAATTACGTGGGTTTTCCGAAGTGCCTACTTAGTGATACATAGTAAATAGTTATTTAGTACCAACTTAGTCCATGATACTTTATTTTCGTGTAGGATCAGTATCGGAACTTCCAAAGTAAGTCCTGGCCGAATGAGACCTCAAACAATTTTCCAGATCATCACACCGTTTTGCAGTCTAAGCTTCTATTCAACGTGATTGCCATTACATCAGTAAACAATAAACGTTTTAATGACCAGTAAGTGGAATTACTAAACGGTTCACTATGTGCTCAGTAACACTACACACTTTTAAAAAGTAATCAATCAATATTCATGGCCGAAACATTACACACTAAGTGTTTCCGAGAACGAACAGTCCGGATATAAAATTACATAAGTTATACTACGAAACCAACCCTTATTCCTATGTAATAAGGACGCCGTCGTGGTCAAACTGTCACCATAAACGTATGGTGGACTGTATTTTTGGATAATTAACGGACATTACGAGCCTATCCCATGGGTCGTAAAAGTGGATATCCTATTGCCTTGTTGAGTCAACAATGTGATGTTTTTGACGAGGGAACTATCAGTTAGTTTTTAAGCGAAATGAGCACTAAACACGAATACTTAAGGTCATTATTAGATTTACGATGTTGCTTGAAGACAACAGAATATTTGAGGCCGTTGTAATGAGGTTGCCACGATTAGATTAATGGCCTGTTCCCGTCCGGCCCAGTCGCCACTCCTAATGTAATTTACGACAGGTACCCAAAACTATTTAGTAACTAGTTTCAATTTCTGTTGTAACATACCTGCAGTGAGACTAATTTTTATTTTGTTAACTGTAACTGTTACTGCAGTTGAACCCGCCTTTGATTAACGGATTACGAATCTTCAGTCTATAAAACTTCTGTTAGCTTTACGCCAGCCTTAATAATATTCTAGGAATATTTCTAGTATTCATTCTTTACTAATTTCGATGCGGTATCAGAACTGAGACCAGATAAAATAATGTTACATCACCATAATTTTGCACTTATTCCTCAATTACTTGAATAGTTTGTTTATATGCAATCACGGGATTGGACTAAACATCAGTACCTACCTAATCCTAAAATAATACAAAGGAAATTGTAAAAGGCAACACGAAGAAATTCACAGGTAATAATGATCTTTTTTGACATTGATAGTAGATTTGATTTTATGACATGTATTATATTGTATTGTATTGGGTATACTTATTGAACAGTGTATCAATGTATTAAAGTAGTTGTGTCACATAAATTTTGTCGTTATGAGATCAGTATCTTAGCAACAATTTTAATTGTAATTCGATTTAAGAAATGTGTTGTTTTTTTTTCTTTTTGTACTACTTGTGTTATTAGTTTTAAGCTTTAATTCACACACAATGTAAATTGTTTTTGAAATAAATAAATAAAAAAAAATAAAATAACTGTACAATGGTACAAATAGTAACTAGTAACTTACCGACAGCATATGCAGTGTAGAGGATTGGACTGTCATCAGTGACTACGTCATCGAAGCATACAGCAGCCACCAGACGTGGCTCAGCAAAGTCTTGGTTGAACATCATTTCTACGCAATATGTGGTAGGTTCGTGCCAAATCTGACCTCCTGTGGCCACCTCGTATAGTGTGCCATTCTGTAACAAAATATTTCTAACTTATTTCCACATGACTAACAAGACTGATGACTGTGGATGAAGCGAAAGAGGTATGTAAGAATCGTAGTAATTGGCGTTCCATAGTCTATGCCTACCACAACACATAATCATAAGAACATCTGTTGAACAAGAGATATAGAGTCTGATTCTCAAATTTTTATGAGCTTTATGGTCGTCGGTCGTCCTCGAAGTTTGCCTAAGTACTGCTTGTCTAGCAATATGTTCTCATTTCCCTTCAACTGAACTAAAATTAAATTAAGGTATATATCATGGAGGGTAAATTATACTTGCTGGAAGAACACTGTTGACCTTCGTAGAAAAAGTAGCGTGGTACAACCAGCTGTTGCTATGTATACGTAATCAAACCTTGTAAGGCCTACAAATATGTACTCATATTACGGTAGAAGGGGTAGGACTGTCTGATTTATGTTGCACCCACACATGACCACACTGATATATGCGCGCCCGATACGTTTCCTGCTCGGCTACATTTTAAAATTATCGGAACAGTATCGATCGTGTGAACGAACCCTTTGTTGTTCTTTTGTATGTTATGTTTATTTTTCAACATTATATTTTATACAAATAAGTATAGTATAATAAATAGCGTCTGTTTTTTCCCAAAGATGTGTAAATACAAAACAGAAGCAGTGTATATTCTGGCAACGAAATAATGCATCAGCAGCCATGTTGGACTTTGAGCTCATACTGAGAATCTCCAAATTGAAATAGTTATTTTACCCAATCGCTATACAAAGCTAATCAAATTAATAAACCTCATTGTAATTATAGAACGAATATGGTTTTATTAAAGTACCTCGGAAGAAAAAGCCGTTTATTATGCGGTTTTATATTTATTAATCATATCGCAGCGTGTCATGTGTCATGTGTGTTTTGTGTAATTGGAATTAATAGGGTCGTTAGGGCAGGGGTTGGACGTGAGCAATGATTAAAATTGTGTCAATCATCAAACTGCCATGAATCTACGAATACAGAGTAGTTACTGAATTTTTTTTAAAACGTTACATAATTATTATAAAATGTAGTTAATCGCTCGTTTATTCAAACCTTTCATAGAACCCACTACTAAAGGGAATTTGATGCAATTTTTATATAGATGACCATCCATAGAGCTATTCACTGACTTAGCAGCCTTATTTATGACCACTCAGTCAAAAAGGTAAGTAACCAGATATACATCGAAAAAACTCTCACCAAATCAGCAGCTGTAGCCGAATGCCATTTTTCGCTTGTCTTTATGTAGAATAGACATACATAACA